TCACCCCACCCCGACCCCTCATCCTCTCGTGTTGCTAGAACACAATCTAGACTACGCAACCATGTAAGCATCTGGTCAGCTTTGCATTTACTGGTCTTATCTCTGCATACTAGATTTAATGGTTGTTGCCTCTTGTGTTTGTGGGGAGGCTTTTTTTTGTTTCAGTAGAGGTTTTAAGGCGCCCGCAACTGCATAAGGTCATAGGAGCGCCAAGGGGTGGATGTCAACAGAGAAGCCCTTAGGGGGAATCAGACTTACTCTGCTCACTTCTCTAGCTTCATCAGCACAAAGTCTGCTTCGACTATCAAGGGACCCCGGAAATAGCGGGTCACAAGAGTGTAACTAACATACAAAAGAAGTATAGGAAATATGACGATAGTAAGGATGAGGAAAGAAAGAGCAGCAGTTCCCTGTTGCAGTTCAGGCACAGTTATGAGCATTACATTGATGAAGCAACCCATTTACAATTACAATTCTACTGTGCATAAGAGCTCGAGATGTTAATGTCCCCCTCTTTGGGAATGGCCTAAAGACACTTCAGTCAGTAGCACCGGCCCAGAGGGTATTTTTGTTTTTGTTTTTTGTTTTTCAATCACCAAAAGAGTTTGAGAGTGTGACTAGCAGAGCTATGTTTTGTAGGAAGGACTTCCGTAACGGGCAACCACCCCAACAAACTCAATAAATAAGAGACTAACCCTAACCCTAAACCCCAACCCTACCCCTACACCTACCACTTAACCGAAACCTTACCCTTACCCCAAACCCAAACGTTAACCATAACCCTCAATCATACATGAATTCTATTTCATAGTGGTCGCTCATTACGGAATTCCTCCCGTTCTCCTCATCTAAAGGTCGTCTCCACAAGATCATTGTCGCTTACATTGTGAGGTCGACAGTGTTGACGACTGAAACAGTACAATGACATTACCCGAGGGTCGTTCAAAAATTTTGCCTCCTCTTCAATAACTTCTAAACTATTCAAGATGTCTTCATGACATTTGTACACAATTGACTTTCAATAGGTATACTCTAAATCACAAAAACAGAATTATGCTATGATGTCACACCTTTATGCTATAACTGTTTACATCATAGAAGCTAGGGTACATTGTCGCCAAGAAAATGGCGTCCAGCAAACCTATGAATATGCACTTAAAGCAAAGAGCTGTTATTGAGTTCCTTACTGCAGAGGGAGCTGTACCCATTGATATTCATTGGCGAATGAAGCTTATCTATGGTGAAGCATGTGTAGATGTAAGTACTGTTCGAAGATTGGCAAAGGAGTTCCCTGAAACCAGTCCAGCAGAGACAGATTTGCATGCATGACCAAGCTCGGTGTGCGGTCGTCCCCACTCTGCCAGTGATGTTCAACACCAGGAGAGAGGGAATGAGATCATCCAAGCAAACCGGCTGATCAAAGTAAGAGATGTCAGTGGAATGCTATGGATTTCTGTAGGGAGTACTCAGTATATTATCCATGATGCGTTGGGTTACAGGAAAGTGTGTGCACAGAGGGGGGGGGGGGGTCCCCACATGTTGTTACCCAAGTTGAAATTGAACTGAAGTCAAGTTAGTGATGAACTGCTGGCTCGTTATATTGATGAGGTGAAGCTTTCTTATACCGTATAGTCAAAGGAGACGAGACTTGGGTACACCATTATAACCCAGAGAACAAAAGACAATCGAAAGAAGAATACAGGCACTCTGGCTCACCTAACCCCAAGAAGTTCAATGTTGTTTCATCTGCAAAGAAAGTGCTTATGACACTGTTTTGGGACTGCGATGGTCTGATTCATATGGAATTTTTGGAACAAGGTTCCACTATCAACTCTGAACGATATATTGAGACCCTGAGAAAACTAAGAGCACAGGTTCGGCCCGGAACAAATGCAGTTTTGCACTTCGACAACGCCTGTCCACACACGAGTCGACAAACTCAAGATGCCATGAAAAGTCTCAGATTTCAAGAGACCTTACCGCACCCATCATACGGTCCAGACCTTGCTCCGTCTGACTTTTTTCTTCTTCCTAAGTTGAAGGAGTACCTCAAAGGAAAACGTTATGCAGAAGACGATGAAGTTCAAGAAGATGTGCTTCGCTGGTTCAGAGGAAAACCACATGAATTTTTCGCCGACGGCAAGCGGAAACTTATTCGACATTGGCTGATCTGCATCGACAAAGAAGGCGACTGTGTTGAAAAGTTAAGGTACTGTCATGTAGCAGACATCCTAAGCTTTCATTTGGTGAATAACTTTTGTATGTAGCATCAGTAATAAAGAAATTATGAACTTGGAGGCAAAACTTTTTGAACGACCCGTGTAAAAGAGATTGCGCGGTTACTCGTGGACCTGCTCCAAAACTCTATTCTTGGGTATGGAAGTAAAGGGTTAAGGACTGTGTTCATCAATTTGACAAGGGTTTGCATGACAGTAACATGGAAAACAATGAGCATTAAATTGGGTCAGCAACGCTTAAACTGTCAAACACGGCCAAAGACTTGCCATTTTTTTTCGACTCGTAGCAGTTGTCAACTCTCAACCCAAAAGCCGACTCTCTCTCTCTCTCTCTCTCTCTCTCTCTCTCTCTCTCTTTGTCTCTCTCTCACACACACACACACACACACCTCGATGGGAGAAGCCCAACATGCATTATAAAGTAGCTGTGAGATAAGCCCAAAACACTTTACGCTCTATCAGCAGGCAGTCTCTTCCGACCCTGATGACTTTTAGAGCATAGCGATCCCTACTGTTAAACAGCACTTACTTTCATTCTTCAGCCTGTTAAAAGAGTCGCGCAAAAGTATTTGTCAACCGTGAATGTAATCTATCTTTAGAATCGATTCTTTTCTCACAGCACAGCTCTTCTTTTCATTCAAATAATTTTTATACAAACATAACTTTAGAGTGCGTTCGACTCGTTCAAGTGTGGAGGAGTGGAACGGAGCCTTAAGACAGACGTCATAGGAGAAAATTAAGCCAAACAAGAGCAACTTCACAATTAGATCTGAGGGGGAAAAGGCTTCTTTCTTCACTACAAGTTTGTCAGCCGGAACGACTGAAGCTGAATCGGACTACACCCTACATCAACTGATTCTAGGACAGCCATGCCAATAAAGTATCGTACGTACAGCTTATATTTTAATCGTTCTTTTAAACAACCTTATAAACTGCACAACAGGTAAGTTCTTGAATGCAGCATGTTTTAAGAGTGTTAGTAGATCGTCATTTCTTTAGCCCAGTTCCTTTAGAGGCAAAGGCTAAATTGGAGGCCTCACTTTCCGTTTGTTTTGTTTTTATATTTGCTTCTTCGTTTTTCGTTTTATTTCGCTACTTTAGAATTACACATTTCTATCTGCTCAGTACTTAGTTCTGAGAAATTTGACATTAAAAATGTTGAGTTGTTAAGCTTTTTCGAATGCAGTTCTTTGCATGTCTTGATAACGACTGATAATCTTACAATATTATAGTTAGAGCAGAAACTACATTTTCTGACCTCATGGTCGCAGTGACCCAAAACAGCCAAAAATATCTGATAGAACCTATGTAATTCAATGGTAGCTATTTGATTCGTTTTTGTTTTGTTTGTTTGTTGGTTTTAATTGTTGTTGTTGGGGG